TGCATCTGCCTGGGTTGTGAAGCTGTCCTTGATTTATTGTACTGTATCATTGACCACCTCATAGATGCTGTATGCAAATGATTCCCTGGTGTTCAGCTTACAGACTAAGGCCTAATTTGGACTATGCTGGTGACAATATTGTTCTGATGCTTGCTGACTAGGTTGTGCACCCTACATGTTCAATGACAGAGCAACACGGCTTGGACTGTGCATCAGCTGATACACGTGGGATATGGTCCCGTTGCACTGCACATCATTGTTAGCAGTGTCCTCATCAAGTTTGCAATGTCTTTTGCATACTTTGGCTCAGGTTTGGTTTGGTTTGGTTTATGGCATATCAACCTCAATTGGTTATTTAATGCCGACAAAATTTTTATTACTGGTAATAATATGTTTTTCTTCAAAAATCTATTTCTGAGAATATTTTTCCTTGAAGAAATCGAAAGCTGGTAATATTTTTTTAAAAAACTGTATAGCTGTTTGTATTGCTGGTATTTTTTTAAAAGTATCGCTGGTAATAATCCCTCCCTCAAAAATTACTGGTGGTAATAATTTTTTTTTATTATTATTACAAAGTATTTCTGGTATTAAGACCTATCTTTACACAAGTTTGGGTGTTAACTATTTGCCCATAGCTGGGACCCTAACAGGTTCTACCACCCCAGGTCAGGGTGGACCTGGGAATACCAGCAATTAAGAGGCGGTTCCATGCTCCTCAAAACTTCCTGATCAGAGGCCTTGCTGTTGGACGTAGTTTATCGTCTTACCCAGGACGCAGATGTAGTTTATCTTCTTACCCAGGATAGGCTTAGGTTTACAACACTGGCAATCTCTACATAGAGATCAACAGAAGCTGTTGGCTGGTTGCAGGACCTCTGAACACCACTATTCACAATATCTAATGCAGCAATCTATGAGTTTACAAAGCCACTGCCCCTCCATGTTACTATAGGATGCAGCAAGACCCTCACCCATGGCTTCAAGTTCCACACCCTCAAGATCATTGATGGGGTGCACTGGTCTGATCTCATGTCCAATGAGGAGCTCTGCCAGAGAATAGGCCAGCTGAACATCCTCACACCATCACTCGGGACAGTGTCCACTGGATTGGTCACATCTTGCGACAACTGGAAAACCACCCTACCAACGTCATCTTCCAGCTTACCCTGCTATTGGCAGACTGGAGATGAACTTGTGGCAAACCACACAGCTGTCCACTAGGACCTCCAGCAGATTAATCTGGTGCTGAAGGATGTTGCTGGGAGGACAAGTTGGCTCTTGTGGGTTTAATGCCTTCATGGTTATTTTATTTGGTTATTTTACAACATTTATTTAAATTAAAATTCTCAGGAAATTTTAACTACATACAAATCTGATATTTTTTATCACCATAAAAACCTTAATTCTACCAGTTCTATAACTTTCACGGCTAAGACCCGTCATACCATGCATATTGTAGCGAACCACCCTGATTCCCTTTTTATTCCATTGGTGAGATGAAAATTCCACTTGAGCAGCATCTTTCCATCAACTGCTGCTTTGTGGAATTCACTCCCAAGAGGATGCTTCCCCAATCACTACAATCTTAACCTGTTTAAATCTAGGGTCAACCATTATCTTCTTCACATAGCCACATAAACTGTGCCTCTTCCTCTGTTACCCTCTACCTCGGGTAGACATCAACTTTTTTTCTTCCAAACAGAAGAAAATAACTTTGGAGAAAGATATTCTTTTTCATAAGCAGACCTTATTTCAAAATTCAAGAATGTGTCATTATTTCAGACTTTTGATCACAATGTTTTGGCTCGGTTAGGGTTAGTTCTCTGCTTTTTTTATCAAGTGGATAGCTTGCCTGTTTGCTTTTTTTTTTCTCTTTTTACTTTAGAAACTGATGCAATCTGCTCATTAAATATTAGAACGTATCCAAAATAGTTTTAATCAACTCTTTATGTATTTCTTGGAGATGTAAATTCAAATTGAGTTCACACAAAATCTCAATAAAGAGGGAGATCAGCATCATAAGGAGGAATTAATGGTAACAATTCCTGAAATCCTGAAGACTAATTGAAAATCCTTTTCAAAAATCATGCTGGGAGACATTTTTAAAAACACTCATTTAATTTAAATCAATAGAACATTTAAATTTTTCCTTTTCAGATGTTGGTAGGAAAGGTGATTTATATGTCTTATGAATTGCCATTACTATAAATTGTGCACGTTTTTTTTTGTTTTTGTTTTTGTTTTTTTTTGGTGATATAATGTCAAACATTGTTTTACAAAACTTAAATATTTTCACTTCAAATTTAAAATATTGTCTGAATTTGAAACCAAACTAAAATCTAAACATTTTACAAAAACAAAAACTTAAAAATAAATAACTCTGTTTATTGGCACATCAAATACAATTTAAAAAAAAAAAAATGAAAACAAAAATCACATTGCCTTCTATATACAAAGCAAAGTCTCTTCCTTAAGCCAATATTTAGTTGTTATTACAAAAGGCAACCAGTTTTTCTTGAACATTTCCTGGTGAAATGAAGGTGCATTTTTAGAATGTATGCATCATCTATATCGTCAAAACCGTATATATTTGTTGGTTCCTATAAATAAAGAGCCGTCCTATCCTTAAGTCAATGTTTAACCTCTTCTGCCATTGGCAACCAGTATTTCTGGAATAATTAAATACATAAGCATCTTTTTCTCATGAAATATAGTAACCATGACTTTGTTTGATTTTAAGTTAAAAATCAAATTCTTTTGATATTTTAATCAAGGCAGTTTTGTTGCTTTTCCAGTCACTGTAGGAATGTCTGCAAAAAAAGTCCCACTCCTCAAATTTATAGACAAATCATACAGATGCATGATGGGATTTCTTTCTAGCTAATAAGATACACCACTTCTCAATCTCATTCACCATATTTTTGTTCTTGCCTTGAAGTCATCACTTGTCTGTTTGCCTTGAAGTCATCACTTGTCTGTTTGCCTTGAAGTCTTGCTTCCCACCAGAATGTGCTACAGCCGACATACTGACTAGCTGGGATCTGTTCTACCTAGATGGTTGAACTCTCTGCCTCTGAGCAGAGTGAAACCTGGACGAGGCTTTGCTGAAGGGGCGGAGTCTCATTCAGGGAGGTTGACCAACCCGATCCCATTTATGCGAGTTCTACAGGGATTTTTTGACCAAGCCTATGGGCTCGGAAGACCCACGTAAAACTCGGCCTTGTGCCACATCTACCCTCGGGTGGGTGCTAGTAAATATTGACTAGCTGGGATCTATTGAGAAATACTAACCTTCCAATAGTAGCACTAACTACTGGATTGACTTGCGGCAACCTTGTGCATAACTGTTACATTATTTTTTATTGTACTTGTTTTTACAATAAACCATTACTTATTTTATCCACAGTGTTTTTCAAGTATATATTCCTATTAGCACAGAATATAACAGAAATATAATAGATATCCACTCTAAACTCTATTATCATATTATCTTCAAGACGAGGATACAAAAAATGGAGGAGGCTCATTGTTTACATGAGAAACACACCCTATATTTATTATTGGTTCTATTCTACTTAATTTGCCATTTTATTATCTATTAACAGATAATAAATGATTGATATGAAAGCCTGTATGATGGAATAAATGGAAACCAGTTGGATGTTTCCATTTTCTCGGCAGGGTTTTGCTCTCTTCAAACATCTTAAAAAAAACTGATAAAAAATCTAAGATAAAAAAATCCTTACAATGGCAAGCCTGCTTTTTAAAAATTATGTGGTTAATCTGAAAAACTTTAACAGTTAAAAAAATAAGCAATGAGATTTGTACATAGGAAATAGGTTAAAAAATAAAATAAAATACGATAATTTGATACAGAGAAGAAAATAAAAAGTTATGGTGAGAAAAACAAAGCATATATATATATCCAAAGAAAATCGTGAATATTTATAAGTAAGAATATAATTTACGATATGTATTATTTATGTGTTAAAAAAACATAGAATTTAATTACAATATTTAATTAAATTAAAATTTTATTAATTTGTTTAACCAGTATCCATTTTAATATTATTTACTTTAAGCATTATTTATGACTTGAATATTTTTGCTACAAAATTTACTTATTTTTTATTTATTTTTTAATCTTTTTATATTTTTTCAACATTACATTTACAAAATATAAATTTATAAAAAAAATAACACGTAATATCTTCATTATTTTTCTGGTAAAAATGAATATTGAATGTTTAATTAATATTATGTCTACACTATTTACAGTGTTCAGAATGTTGTCCTCATTTTTGTTGCCATATTCATGATGTTTTGGCCATTGTATACTCTGGCCTTCTTCAGGCGATTGGAATTTCGAACTGAACCCTTTATTTCGTCCACCAGGGTAGATTGTTCTATTTCCACGTGCCATGCCTCGTCCATATTTCTCAGTATAAGTTATCTCTCTCCTCATGAACACATGGCTCAGTGGATAAAAGCATTGGTTGAATCTAATGACTTGACCCAAAGTGTTGTGAGTTCAATACCTGGCTACAGCAGAGGTGAACAAAAACTTGGAGAGTCGAGTTACTAAAGGGAGATAACTGATACTGAGATATCCAGACGAGGCATGGCATGTAGAACTAAAATAATCTACCCTGGTGGACAAAATAAAGGGTTCAATTTGAAATTCCAATAACCTGAAGAAGGCAGGAGTGTACAATGCTCGAAATGTTGTGAATATGACAACAAAAATGGGGACAACGATCTGAACATTGTAAAATAATTGCAATACCTCAACTCAAAAATATAGACAGATAATAATATGTCCAAATAATAATTTGTTACAGATATCCTACCAGTCAGTCCCAGACACGAAATGTTGTAGGTTAATGAAATCATATAGTTTGAGTTGCATTAAGTGATAGTTATTTTAAGCTTATAAAATTCTAATAATGTTGATCCTGGTTTTACATTTTATCATTCTTCTAAAATCTTTTTTGATGCAGGTATACAAGCAAAACATTCAACAACCAGACGACAGTGTATGCAATAACTCTGAAATGGCCTACCAACCACATGCTCTGCCTTGGATCTGTTCAGTCAACTTCACAAACCAAAGTTACTATTTTGGGTTACCCTGGCAGTTTACATATAGCACAAATGGCTGGGATTGGATTGAAAATAGATTTGCCAGACATTTCATTTAATAAGATGCCTTGTGATTGGGCTTGGGTTTTTAAAGTTGAAAATGTTGCAAACTAAGCCACTACCCAGAAAATTATTTTTAATTTATAGAAATTGAAAAATAAATTTATATGCAGGGTGGGATGCAAATTTATAAATTCTTCAGATTTTTTTGTATGAACATTGTAATAAAATATATTCTCTATTAATTTTGTGTTATATTTAACATTTTACTTACTGATTCCGACCAACTGATTTTCAGGTATGACATCTGTGTGGCCTCATGTAGTCGAGAAGTGTTGTCAACAAAGCTATCTATGTAGCAAACCAATCTTCCTCATTTTTACAATATCTTTCCTTCATATATATATTACTCAATTTCTTCTCACTTGTGGAACTCCCTTCTGGCTCCATGCTTTCCAGCCAACTTTAATCTGTAAAAATTTAAATGCATTGTCGATCACAATGTACTGTCCTTCTGATTACTCTTTCCTCTTCTCGCTTATTATTAATGTTTCTGTTCTTAATTCTTCTACACCCTGTAACTCTTTGTGTCTTAGTGACTTTACTGCCTTGCATGGGGTGACATAGGAATTTTCAAAATGTAGTGTTAGCATTTTTCTATTCCTTACTAAATGATAACATGTTCATCTTGGTTGTTACCTGCAGCATTTTGGCAGTACTCTTAGACCTTCAATCATGATATTTGGAAATCTTGGAGTTTTGAACCCAACCCATAAATCAATTCACAAGGTTAAATTGTTTCCATTGCTGTCAATGGAAGTAAAGAATATGTAAACTGAAGCTGTGTTTGGAAGAGTAACCACAAGAAGTTGACAGCTGTTTACCGTACACCTGCCTACCTATTTTCACTCTGTCATGAAAACCAATTCTGTGTCTACCTTTTTGATTCCTGTGTAAAAGAATTCTGCCTACCTTTCTATTGTATGAGAATTCAGCATTTAATAACTTGAAAAAGGTTGATATGTCGTCAAACAGAGAAGACTGAACCAAACTGGCATGGAATTGTCCTAATCGTACAAAAACATGAAGATCAGATAAATATTTGCAGCATGGTCTCCAGTTCTAAATAGTCTGTGACCTTAATAAGCCTTTCTTTCTCTCCAATTCCCCCCCACCCTTGTTATTCTTTTCAGCAACAAAGTCCAATTACCATTTCTGGTTTTCCTATTTCATTCTTTTATCAGCAACAGACAAAGTCCAACTATAAATTCCTGGTTTTGACTTCTGGCAATTCCATTAAAAAAACACCACTCAATGAGACATTTATATAAACATTTTGGCAAACTTGCAATTTCATGCCTGCAAAAAAGCAGGGTCAAAAGGACACAGGATTTTAATTACCTTCGACAATGTTTATTGTTTTAAAAAGCAATGATTGCAATTGGAATAAAACCTAAAAATGAAAGTGAATTTATATATTTTCTTTGTTCTTGAGAATTGATAACAAAAATAATAAACACTATTAGATTGCTTATTAGAAAGACTGGCAAAACATCGGCTAATTGCCAATTGATTCAAACTTTATAAAATGGTAAATAAGTATTTCCTTATAGTTGGTTTACATATTTTAATAATTTAATAAATTTATGAATAAAAAATTGTTTTCATATTTATTTCTTTATAAATTGGTAAATGATAAATATTTCATTGTATTAGTTTTAATTGTATTAGTTTTTAGAATGTTGTAAATAGAAAATTATTCTTGTAAATAAAAAATCTAATAAAGTGTTTTTTGTTATAAATTCTCAAGTGCAAGAAAAATGTATAAATTCACTTTCATCATATGTTTGGGTTTTATTACAATTCTAACCATCACATTTTCAAACAACAAAAATTACCAAGGAGTGAAGGTAGTTAAAATAATGCTAGTGGTGTCAATGGAAAAACTGTCCTTTTGACCCCATGTTTTTTTGTAGGCATCAAGGTCCAAGTTACAATATTCTGGCGCTTGTCCGTCAAAGCACTCTGTGCATTTACTCAGTTTCTCTAAAAGCATTCCAGTAAGTAAAACTTCTTCTGCCATTCATTTATTCAAACCACAGTTAGTAAAAAAGACTATTCTCTACACTAGTAAATAACCTATCAAGATTAGTTTGCACACAATCACTTTATGCTAAGAATATATTCTATTTGTCTTGACGAATGTCCTGTCGTATCTTTGTATGAATATCTGCATGTTAGAATGGAATAGAAAAATTTATAGATTCATTGTGAAAATAAAGATTTTTTTAATTGCCAGTTCAATTATAAAAAAAAGCAATTCTCATTTCCCTTTTTAGGAAACAAAGTAACATAAATGCTGTGTTAAATATCTGTTAAATTATGTCTCAAAAATGGACTCCAGAGAGTGAAGAAAGGAAAATGACCATCAGATTTCATAAATGTATTTAATCTTTCTCAATACGCTTCTTGCTTTGTCTTTAGACATACACCTGAAAAGTAAAAATCTAAAATTGTATAATAATATTAATGTCTAATAAGAATACGAAACAACACTTTTCATGTGTAAAAATATTGCTCATACACTTTTGGACTACATCAAATTAATAATGAGCAAATTGAGGGTATGTGGTTTTGGGTCTTAGGGATTCATCTTCTTCCCTCATAGGTCAAGCATTGTTGTCTTCTCTAAGTTCAGTTTGGTTTACTTTTTTGTTGTACCTACTGACCTCCTTTGAGGCTCAATTTTGCACTTGGTGGCTTTTAGGTCACCTTCTTGGTCATTCCTCAGAGCTCCTAGGTCTTTTGATATTCTGAATTAATATCAATTACAACAAATGAACATAGAATCTAAAACATACAAAGTGAAGTGTTTCAGATTTCTGCATATTTTCTGTATATAACTTTGTGAGGTGCCGAAAATTTCTGTCGCAACACATTTTTCAAAAACTGACTGAGCATCAGAATTTTCAGAAATCCTTTTTTGCCAAAAATGTTTGTTTTCGCTATGAGATAGGTAGGTTTTTATAGCCTTTAAGTAGTGCGAAAGTGTAGAGTCACTTGGTTGCATTAATGTATAAGTATAGATTTGTGACATTAGCATACTTGTATTTATATATAAATTCAAAGTATGAATGGCATTACTGTTGATTGTAGTTTGATGTAGGTATTTGAATTCAGAATAGTATTTGGAATATTTCTTATGTTTCAAAAACCTAGGCAGAATGAGAAGCTTCTTGTTGTTTTCAAAATCTGTTCATTTTGCTGGGGGTGCAGATGAGGAGGAGTCCTTTTTGTTGTTATTAACACAATGTTTCAACCATTATGCCTTGAAGACTTCATCAGTTACTTGTTGATCCAGCTAACCTTCAGGGAATTTTGAACTGAAGCTTTTATTTAATCTACAGGGGTAGATTATTCTCATTTCATTGACCATGTCTAGGGATATCTCATCTAGTTTTTATTTATTCTCAGTTATTACTTACTATGTTTCAACTGAATCCAAGTACACTGTGTCTGGTGCAGGGAATGGACTAACAATCATTATATCACTAAATCCTTGAACCAACACTTTAATCCACTAAGCCAATCTTTCTTAACTGGTATGCCCAGGTGTACTAATATGCCCTGAAAGGTGCCCAGATGTGGCCCCATGTTAACAGAAGAGTTATTTATGAATTATTTTTTATATTTTTTAAAAGATTTTATTTTTAAAAAGAGACAACAAGCATACAGCTTCCATGTCTAACTCAATTGACATTTCAACGTTGGCTTATTGTTAACAGAAGAATAAGAGTTGATCACAATATCTGCTGATCATGGTTTACAAGTTGAGTATCTATTGATCAACTTTGGATTACCGTTCAAGAAGAATATGCTTCAATAGCTTGCAAAACATTGAATATTTGTAATTTTCCACATTGTACCTCTGTGAGTTAAGATTTTCTGCTCTTAAGTCAAAATAGATCAAATATTGAATGCATCAATGAAGAAATGAGAGTATGTTTATCACATATAAGGCCTTCAACAATTGCCAAAGTACAGGGTTGGTTTGGTTTGGTTTATTTTGTTTTATGGCATATCGACCTCAATGGGTTATTTAATGCCGACAACATTTTTAGGATAGATTCGTATGAATAGAATATGTATTCTTTGGTTTAGATTGATTTGGTTTATTTTGTTCTACGGCATATCAACCTCAATGGGTTATTTAATGCCGACAACATTTTTAGGATAGATTAGTATGAATAGAGTATGTATTATTTGGCTTAGATTGGTTTGGTTTATTTTGTTTTATGGCATATCAACCTCAATGGGTTATTTAATGCTAACAAAAATTTTTATTGCTGGTAATACATTGTTTTGTTAAAAATATGTTTCCGGCAACATATTTCCTTCAAAATTGTATTGCTGGTAATAACCTTTTCCAAAAAAGTATTGCTGATAATAGTTAACTATTTGCCCACAGCTGGGACCCCAACAGGTACCACCACCCTGGGCCAGGGCAGACCCGGGAACACCAGCAACTAAGATGTGGCTCCATGCTCCCCAAAACCTCTTGATCAGAGGCCCCGCTACTGGATGCAGTTTAATGTCTTACCCAGGATGCGAATGTAGTTTAACGTCTTACTCAGGACGCTGATGTACTTTAACATCTCATTTAATTCTCACATTTCATGACTATTCTACAAGTTCAACCTGAAGTAAAAATGGTTGAGATACATTGCACTAAGCTATTTTTTCAATGTTCCACTTTAATAACAGTGTGGACTCAATGGAAATGACATGAACAGAACTAAATAAGGACTAGAAGAGATGTTGGTAGACATCCACCTCTAGATGAAATAAAAGGTTCAGTTCATAATTCCTTGAAGGTTATCTAGATCAACACCTG